ACCATCTGGAACGTTCTGACATCACATAGAACGTTCTGACATCTTAAAAAACGTTCTGACATCATTTACAGTGTTCTTACACCATATGTAACGTTCTGACACCATATGTAACGTTCCTACATCATATAGCACGTTCTAACATCATATAGAACGTCCTGACGTCACATAGAACGTTCAGACATCCTATACAACGTCCTGACATCATATAGAACGTCCGGACATCATATATAACGTTCCGACATCATTTATAGTGTTCTGACATCATATAGAACGTTCTGACATCCTGGAGAACGTTCTGATATCTATAGAACGTCCTGACATCCTATAGAACGTTCTGACATCATATGGAACGTCATGACATCATATATAACGTTCTGACATCCATAGAACGTTCCGACACCATATAGAACGTTCTGATATCATATAGAACGCCCTGACATCATAAAGAGTGTTCTGACGCCATATAGAATGTTCTGACACCATATTAAACGTTCTGACATCCTATAGAATGTTCTGACATCATATAGAACGTTCTGACATTATATAGAACGTTCTGACACCATTCATAGAACGTTTTGACATCATATAGAGTATTCTGACATCCTATAGAATGTTCTGACATCATATAGAACGTTCTGACATCTTTTAGAATGTTCTGACATCATATAGAGTGTTCTGACACCATATAGAGTGTTTAGACACCATTTAGAACGTTCTGACATCATGTAGAACGTTCTGACACAATATCAAACATTTCGACATCCTATCGAACGTTCTGACATTATATAGAATGTTCTGACATCATATAGAACGTTCTGATATCATATAGAACGCCCTGACATCATAAAGAGTGTTCTGACGCCATATAGAATGTTCTGACACCATATTAAACGTTCTGACATCCTATAGAATGTTCTGACATCATATAGAACGTTCTGACATTATATAGAACGTTCTGACACCATTCATAGAACGTTTTGACATCATATAGAGTATTCTGACATCCTATAGAATGTTCTGACATCATATAGAACGTTCTGACATCATATAGAACGTTCTGACATCATATAGAACGTTATGACATCATATAAAACGTTCTGACATCATATAGAACGTTTTGACATCATATAGAGTATTCTGACATCCTATAGAACGTTCTGACATCATATAGAACGTTCTGACATCTTTTAGAATGTTCTGACATCATATAGAGTGTTCTGACACCATATAGAGTGTTAAGACACCATATAGAACGTTCTGACATCATATAGAACGTTATGACATCCTATAGAACGTTCTGACACAATATCAAACATTCCAACATCCTATCGAACGTTCTGACATCATATAGAACGTTCTGACATCATATAGAACGTTCTGACATCATATAGAACGTTCTGACATCATATAGAACGTTCTGACATCATATAGAACGTTCTGACATCATATAGAACGTTCTGACATCATATAGAACGTTCTGACATCATATAGAACGTTCTGACATCATATAGAACGTTCTGACATCATATAGAACGTTCTGACATCATATATAACGTTCTGACATCATATAAAACGTTCTGACATCTTATAGAACGTTTTGACATCATATAGAACGTTCTGACATCTTATAGAACGTTCTGACATCATATAGAACGTTCTGACATCATATAGAACGTTCTGACATCATATAGAACGTTCTGACATCATATAGAACGTTCTGACATCATATAGAACGTTCTGACATCATATAGAACGTTCTGACATCATATAGAACGTTCTGACATCATATAGAACGTTCTGACATCATATAGAACGTTCTGACATCATATAGAACGTTCTGACATCATATAGAACGTTCTGACATCATATAGAACGTTCTGACATCCTAGAGAACGTTCTGACATTCTATAGAACGTTCTGACATCATATAGAACGTTCTGACATCATATAGAACGTTCTGACATCATATATAACGTTCTGACATCATATAGAACGTTCTGACATCATATAGAACGTTCTGACATCATATAGAACGTTCTGACATCATATAGAACGTTCTGACATCATATAGAACGTTCTGACATCATATAGAACGTTCTGACATCATATAGAACGTTCTGACATCATATAGAACGTTCTGACATCATATAGAACGTTCTTACATCCTATAGAACGTTCTGACACCATATAGAACGTTCTGACATCATATAGAGTGTTCTGACACCATATAGAACGTTCTGACATCCTATAGAACGTTCTGACATCATATAGAATGTCCTGACATCATATAGAACGTTCTGACATCATATAGAACGTTCTGACATCCAATAGAACGTTCTGACACCATATAGAACGTTCTGACATCGTATAGAACGTCCTGACATCCTAGAGAACGTTCTGACATTCTATAGAACGTCCTGACATCATATAGAACGTTCTGACATCCTTAAGAACGTCCTGACATCATATATAACGTCATGACATCATTTAGAACGTTCTGACACCATATAGAACGTTCTGACATCAAAAATAACGTTCTGACATCCTGAAGAACGTTCTGACATCATATGTAACGTTTTGTCATTATATAGATTGTTCTGACATCCTATGGAACGTTCTGACATCCTATAGAACGTTCTGACATCATATAGAACGTTCTGACATCATATATAACGTTATAACATCCTATAGAACCTTCTAAAATCATATAGCACGTCCTGACATCAAATAGAACGTCCTGACATCATATAGAACGTTCTGACATCATATAGAACGTTCTGACATCATATAGAACGTCCTGACATCATATTGAACGTCATGACCTCATATATAGTGTTCTGACATTAAATATAGTGTTCTGTCACCATATAGAGTATTCTGACACCATATAGAACATTCCGACATCCTATCGAACGTTCTCACACCATAAAGAACGTTCTGACATCATATAGAACGTTCTGACATCTTATAGATCGTTCTGACATCATATAGAGTGTTCTGACATCATATAGAATGTTCTGACCTCCTATAGAACGTTCTGACACCATATAGAACGTTCTGACACCATTCATAGAACGTTCTGACACCATATATAACGTTCTGACACCATATAGAACGTTCTGACATCATATAGAGTGTTCTGACACCATACAGAACGTTCTGACATCCTATATAACGTTCTGACACCATATAGAACGTCCTGACATCATATAGAACGTTGTGACTTCATATAGAAAGTTCTGAAATCATATAGAGTGTTTTGACATCATAAAGAACGTTCTGACATCATATAGAATGTTCTTACACCTTATAGAACGTTCTGACCTGCTATAGAACGTTCTGACCTCCTATAGAACGTTCTGACCTCCTATAGAACGTTCTGACATCCTGTAGAACCTTCTGATATCCTATAGAACGTTCTGACATCATAAAGAACGTTCTGACATTATAAAGAACGTTCTGACACCATATAGAACGTCCTAACATCATATAGAACGTTCTGACATCCTAGAGAACGTCATGACATCATATAGAACGTTCTGACATCCTAGAGAACGTTCTGACATCCTTTAGAACGTCCGGACAACATATAGAACATCCTTACATCCTTTAGAACGTTCTGACATCATATAGAATGTTCTTACACCATATAGAGTGTTCTGACACCACATAGAAAGTTCTGACATCATAAAGAACGTTCTAACATCATATAGAACGTTCTGACATCCTATAGAACGTCCTGACATCCTTTAGAACGTTCTGACATCATATATAATGTTCTTACACCATATAGAGTGTTCTGACACCATATAGAACGTCCTGACATCCTATAGAACGTTCTGTCATCATATAGAACGTCCTGACACCATTTAGAACGTCCTGACATCATATAGAACGTTCTGACATCCTAGAGAACGTACTGACATCATATAGAACGATCTGACATCCTAGAGAACGTTCTGACATCCTATAGAACGTCCGGACAACATAAAGAACGTCCTGACATCACTCCCATTTTTATTTCACAGTTTGGACAGTTGATGCGGTACCCATGTGTGAAATTCATTGGACATACGATGTCTTTTGTCACCTTCCTAGTGATGATATTAATATCAAGCATCACTGCCCAGCCAGCGTCACAACATCAAATCAGTGCCTTCAACGATATATTTTCCAAGTACAAGGATTTCCAAGGGGACAATTCTAGCCAATACCCGGAGAATTTTGTAGTGCGCATATCTAAACCGGAAATCATACATCTGATGTTGTCACTATGGATCATAGGTAAGTTGAAATTGGACCAGGTTGTCATGAAATGTTCTTGTATCATTAGAACATAGTACAATGTAATACAGTGCCAGCGTATCTATATGCTTACCTTGCTATTTGGTTCTTCTTGATTCGTTCATTGCTGTTTTGAGTACAAATGGTAAAACGAAGAGCGTTTCAATCATTTTGCAATTGTGTTATATTCTGATCTTTTATTTGGGTGCATTGTAATACAATTAATTGTATAGTCATGAATAGGCAATATGTTTGACGTCATGAAATTATGATGTCATATTGAAGACGTAAGAACTGGTGCCGATGAAGACTTGACAGGAATTAAAGAAAACCTGCTTTTGCAAATATTAAGAAACATAAATACTACTATGTTAAAGAGAATCTTGAACTTGCATCCTTCCTAAACTGTTATAAATATTTAATAGCTAGACATTTCATACATGTCTGACGTTATGATCCCTGTTTGTGTTGATGAAGAAGACAATTACGTAGCACGGGGTTGCTTTGATAAGCGCAGAATAATGGCGTTTTACAGATACCGGGACCAATACATACCTTCATAGAACGTTAATGTAACTCACACACAAACCTCAACATCAACACATACACAACATATACTGAAACTGAAGCAATTGGCTTTTGGTAATTGTTTGGTCTTCAGTTTTAACCCAATTCAGCTGTAGCGAAGTATATTTGTCAGAAATGTATTCCATATATATATTACACCGCTTGCACGTGTTGAAATAAGATGCAATGAATGGCCCCAGACACCTTTGGACGAATCTAAAGTAATGTACGGCTTTACCGTCTTCAATTCGTACAATCCTTTAATCAAATGTCGGGAAAAATGCTGAGATAACACTACTGCTACAAACGTTTCCAATACAACTTTGGCATGTGGTGTCTCGTCAAATATATCATCATGTCATCGAACACAACGGACTTCTAACATTTCTATTTTTAATCATTTTTGTTCTGATTCTCTTTATCAATCTCCGAGACAAATCAGAGTCGATAGCGATCTGGTATTCCACGTCTATATACGGTTCGCCAATCGGATGTTGCAACCAAATTCCCTCTGCCTTCCTAATTACATAGTGTTACTCCAGGCCAAAGCTAGACGCTGCCTCGTCATATGATAAAACGAAATGACACGAAACAGAGGGAAGGGAATTAATTATACTCTGTCCGACGGATTTTCTATCGCCGTAGTTTTGTTCAATGCACATGAGTCACGATCACTTAGAATCTGACTCATCGCAATCTGTCTTGGCTGCAGGAGCACATGTCATTATGAGTATATCTTTCTATATCCATATGCGTGCTAAAAGGGAATGCCTATTTAATAATAGTAAAGGAACATATGTTTTATTTATTTAGCACTTGAAATATGTACATGTACTCTGCTAATGTCATTGCTATCAACAACTGCAGCTTAAAGTACACCAAGTAGCATTCATGAATAAAACAAGTGCTAAAGAAACGGTTGTACTAATGTATATAACGATCTGAAAATGTTTAATCTTGACGTAATTATTATTTGGATCGTGTATAAATATGTTGACAGAGAATTAATAGCGTGATGCATATAACTTGTTTACATTATTTTGCCAAACCGGGTCGGGCGGATCTAATTACATCAGATATTACATATTATATCAGGTGTAGTGTGACACCGGGCGGATCTAGTTACATGATATATCACATCTTATACCAGGTGTAGTGTGACACCGGGTGGATTTAGTTACATTGTATATTATATCTTATATCAGATGTATTGTGACACCGGGTTGATCTAATTACATTATAAATTATATCTTATATCAGGTGTAGTTTGACACCGGGTGGATCTAATTACGTTATGTATATAATCTTATATCAGGTGTAGTGTGACACCGGGTGGATCTAATTACATTTTATATTATATCTTATATCAGGTGTAGTGTGACACCGGGTGGATCTAATTACGTTATATAGGATATCTTATATACCAGGTGTAGTGTGACACCGAGTGGATCTAATTACATTTGATATTATATCTTATATCAGGTGTAGTGTGACATCTAGTGGATATAATTACATTTGATATTATATCTTATATCAGGTGTAGTGTGACACCGGGTGTATCTAATTACATTATATATTTTATCTTATATCAGGTGTAGTGTGACACCGGGTGGATCTAGTTATATTCTATAGTATATCTTATATCAGGTGTAGTGTGACACCGGGTGGATATAATTACATTTGATATTATATCTTATATCAGGTGTAGTGTGACCCCGGGTGTATCTAATTACATTATATATTTTATCTTATATCAGGTGTAGTGTGACACCGGGTGGATTCAATTACATTTTATATTATATCTTATATCAGGTGTAGTGTGACACCGGGTGGATTCAATAACATTTTATATTATATCTTATATCAGCTGTAGTGTGACACCGTGTGGATCTAATTACGTTATATAGTATATCTTATATCAGGTGTAGTGTGACATCTAGTGGATCTAATTACATTATATAATATATCTTATATCAGGTGTAGTGTGACACCGGGTGTATCAAGTTACATTATATATATAATCTTATATCAGGTGTAGCGTGACACCGGGTGTATGTATTTACGTGATAAAAGGTCCGTTAAATATTTGTTGACAAGTAAGTTGTTTGTTGACATGTGTGTTGTTTGTTGACATATATGTTGTTTATTGACAGGTATGTTGTTTTTTGACAGATATATTGTTTGTTGACAGATGTGTTGTTTGTTGACAGGTGTGTTGTTTGTTGACAGGTATGTTGTTTGTTGACAGGTATGTTGTTTTTTGACAGATATATTGTTTTTTGACAGATATGTTGTTTGTTGACAGGTGTGCTGTTTGTTGACAGGTTGTTGTTTGCTGACAGATATGTTGTTTGTTGACAGGTAAGTTGTTTGTTGACAGGTTTGATGTCTGTTGACAGATGTGTTGTTGTTGACAGGTTTGATGTCTGTTGACAGATGTGTTGTTGTTGACAGGTGTGTTGTCTGTTGACATGTGTGTTGTCTGTTGACATGTGTTGTCTGTTGACATGTATGTTGTCTGTTGACAAGTGTGTTGTTTGTTGACAGGTGTGCTGTTTGTTGACAGGTATGCTATTTGTTGAAAGGTGTGTTGTTTGTTGACATGTGTGCTGATTGTTGACAGATGTGTTGTTTGTTGACAGGTATGTTGTTTGTTGACAGGTATGTTGTTTGTTGACAGGTATGTTATTTGTTGACAGGTTTGCTGTTTGTTGACAGGTATGTTGTTTGTTGACAGGTTTGTTGTTTGTTGACAGATGTGTTGTTTGTTGACAGGATTGTTGTTTGTTGACAGGTGTGTTGTTTGTTGACAGGTATGTTGTTTGTTAAGAAGTATGTTATTTGTTGACAGGTATGCTTTTCGTTGACAGGTGTGTTGTTTGTACATGTTTGTTGTTTGTTGACAGGTTTGTTGTTTGTTGACATGTTTGTTGTTTGTTGACAGGTTTGTTGATTGTTGACATGTTTGTTGTTTGTTGACAGGTTTGTTGTTTGTTGACATGTTTGTTGTTTGTTGACAGATGTGTTGTTTGTTGACAGGTTTTTTGTTTGTTGACAGGTATGTTTTTTGTTAAGAAGTATGTTATTTGTTGACAGGTATGTTAATTGTTTACAGGTATTTCTTTGTTGACAGGTATGTTGTTTGTTGACAGGTTTGTTGTTTATTGACAGATGTGTTGTTTGTTGACAGGTACGTTAATTGTTGACAGGTATGTTGTTTGTTGACAGGTGTGTTGTTTGTTGACAGGTACGTTAATTGTTGACAGGTGTGTTATTTGTTGACAGGTGTGTTGTTTGTTGACAGATTTGTTGTTTGTTGACAGGTATGTTGTTTGTTGACAGGTATGTTGTTTGTTAAGAAGTATGTTATTTGTTGACAGGTTTGTTGTTTGTTGACAGGTGTGTTGATTGTTGACAGGTATGTCGTTTGTTGACAGGTATGTTGTTTGTTGACAGGTAAGTTATTTGTTGACAGGAGTGCTGTTTGTTGACAGGTATGTTGTTTTTGGCTGACATATATGTTGTTTATTGACAGGTTAGTTGTTTGTTCACAGGTTTGATGTCTGTTGACAGGTGTGTTGTTGTTGACATGTATGTTGTCTGTTGACATGTGTGCTGTTTGTTGACAGGTATGTTGTTTGACAGGTGTGTTGTTTGTTGACAGGTAAGTTATTTGTTGACAGGTATATTGTTTGTTGACATGTGTGTTGATTGTTGACAGATGTGCTGTTTGTTGACAGGTATGTTATTTGTTGACAGGTTTGTTGACAGGTATGTTGTTTGTTGACAGGTTTGTTGTTTATTGACAGATGTATTATTTGTTGACAGGTTTGTTGACAGGTTTGTTGTTTGTTGACAGGTGTGTTGTTTGTTGACAGGTATGTTGTTTGTTGACAGGTTTGTTGTTTGTTGACAGGTTTGTTGTTAGTTGACAGTTTTGTTGTTTGTTGACAGGTTTGTTGTTTGTTGACAGGTATGTTGTTTGTTGACAGGTTTGTTTGTTGACAGGTATGTTTTTCGTTGACAGGTTTGTTGTTTGTTGACAGGCTTGTTGTTTGTTGACAGGTATGTTGTTTGTTGACATGTGTGTTGTTTGTTGACATGTGTGTTGATTGTTGACAGATGTGTTGTTTGTTGGCAAGTATGTTATTTGTTGACAGGTTTGTTGTTTGTTGACAGGTGTGTTGATTGTTGACAGGTATGTCGTTTGTTGACAGGTATGTTGTTTGTTGACAGGTTTGTTTGTTGACAGGGATGTTTTTCGTTGACAGGTTTGTTGTTTGTTGACAGGCTTGTTGTTTGTTGACAGGTATGTTGTTTGTTGACAGGTTTGTTGTTTGTTGACAGGTTTGTTGTTAGTTGACAGTTTTGTTGTTTGTTGACAGTTTTGTTGTTTGTTGACAGGTATGTTATTTGCTGACAGGTTTGTTGTTTGTTGACAGGTATGTGGTTTGTTGACAGGTACTTTTTTTGTTGACAGGTATGTTTTTCGTTGACGGGTTTGTTGTTTGTTGACAGGTATGTTGTTTGTTGACAGGTGTGCTTTTTGTTGACAGGTTTGTTGTTTGTTGACAGGTACGTTTTTTGTTGACAGGTATATTTTTCGTTGACAGGTTTGTTGTTTGTTGACAGGTATGTTGTTTGTTGACAGGTTTGTTAATTGTTGACAGGTGTGTTTGTTTGTTGACATATGTGCTTTTTGTTGACACGTTTGTTGTTTGTTGAAAGGTATGTTGTTTGTTGACAGGTATGTTGTTTGTTCACAGGTGTGCTTTTTGTAGACAGGTTTGTTGTTTGTTGACAGGTATGTTGTTTGTTGACAGGTTTGTTGTTTGTTGACAGGTATGTTGTTTGTTGACAGGTATGTTGTTTGTTGACAGGATTGTTTGTTGACAGGTATGTTTTTCGTTGACAGGTTGGTTGTTTGTTGACAGGTTTGTTGTTTGTTGACAGGTACGTTTTTTGTTGACAGGTATATCTTTCGTTGACAGGTTTGTTGTTTGTTGACAGGTATGTTGTTTGTTAACAGGTATGTTGTGGCAGGAGGTGAAGCAGGTTTACAGTGCTGGTATCTATGACTATTTTGACTCTCTATACAACTACTTAGACGTGGCGGTTCTGACTCTTTACATCACCTCATTTACGCTTCGCTACACCACAATAATGAAGGTGAGTCACATGAGAGCAAAATCTGGGAGATGTGATGCACTATGAAACATCAATCATTCAGATATTTGTATGTATGCTTCTGCTTGACCCCAATCAATACTATACCCATGAGGTTGTGCTTAACAAACAAAACAACAAATATTTCATATTAAGTCTATGGCGTTATTTATATAATCTCTTTAAGAAATTCTCTGAAATGCGTGAACAAGTTTTCTAAAAAATAAATCATGATTTTTTACAAAAGTATCAAGATATTTCCGTTACTTTTTGTGATAATAAATCATTCGTAAATTGAACATATGCATCCATGTGTATTTTATTTTGTTTCAATGAGACGTTTGGTATAAGTCTGTTGTTCCTGTTGCATCCTCTTTACTGCATAGCTTTAATCTAATTTCTATAACGTTTATAACGTCATCAATACACGAGACCCATTAATATGCCGTCGACGTAACGTTGTTCTGCTGAATCTAGAAACTACATGTACCCTTTATCTATTACAGGTCAACATGGCTCTAAGTTTCTTTAGCAACTCGGCATCATGGGAAGAGCTGGCTAACAAGACAAGCATGGCTAACTCACAGATGTACTGGCTAATTGCTGGTTTGTCTTTACACTCTTGACCAAAAACTTAATTTCAGAATATCAATAATCAAGAAACCCTTGCAAATCGAAGCAACTAACAGTAATTGTAAATTGCTTAATGAACTGAAGAAGTTATTTTCGCGATTGTGTATGAAATAACCTTTTTGGATATATATATATATATATACTATTTTCTGAATAAAAAGAAATGGTAAATACTGATTAAGCATGCACCAATGTCGCTAAAACTGACAATAATGGCAAGCTCAAAAATTATGATCGGTCGCCTGTTTATGATCAGCTATCTACTGCTCCATAAAACCCGGGTATTTGTCGCCATAATTTGGCGACAGCGATTGTTTAACTTTTACATATTTTTCAGAGAAAACGTTTATACCTTTGTTTCAGTTGATTCATTTCTCACTCAATTGACCAGATGTTATGTCTAAACTCCACACATTATACATAGATACTAAATACTTGTATTCGATTGAGATGCTGTCGATTGCTTACATCGACAGCCATCTTGCCTTCATCAAAAGGGTGTACCAACCAATCAAAATCACTTCCGGTTAATTTGATTAAATGTAAACATTATAAATATGTGCTACGTGGTGATTTTGTTAAGCAGACACACATTTGTTTAACACGTTGGAGTTATGTATATTTATTATGTCAATTAGTTATTTCAATATAACTCTGATATTTCCAGAACTAGCAATTCTGAACATCATAATTATAAAAACAATTCGAGTGCGAAGAAAAGGTAAACTGGTATGCGTGGTTTTGTTGTCAACAAGTCGAATTGCCGGAAGCAATTCTATTGGTTCATACTTATTGCTGTACGCAAGATGGTTGTCGGTGTGAGCAGTCGAAAGCATCTAAATTGAATAAAACGATGTAGTGTCCGTAAAATTTAACGAGTACGGACATGACATCTAGTGAAGTGAGTGAGAAATGAATCAACTGAAATATAGGTAGACATATTTTCTCTAACAAACAAGTACAAGTCAAACAATCACTGCCGCCAGATTTGTATGACAAATCCCTGTGTTTTATAGAGCAGTCGATAGTCAACACGCGACCCATCAGAATGTTCGAGTCTGTGATTATGATCAGTTTAGCGGACTAGTAAGCACTTATCTACAAAATGTTATTAGTCGATGCAGAAAGCCAGACAGACTATTATATGATAGTTCTGTGTAGTGTGTAATTTACTGACAAACATGTAACATCATGTCGTTAATTGCATATTTATTTGTTTTGAAATGTTTTGCTTATTTCGCCTTTATTTGATCAGCAGGAAGACATGCTCTTGTAAATGTTTCGACACACTATTATATGCATAATCTTCTCTTCTCAAGAGAATATTCTTTGCATTATTGATATAACAAATTTACATTGTTTACACTGTGAATTTCAGACCGATCATACTGGAGCGCATGGGATCCCCATAACATCGCGGAGGGACTGTTTGCTCTAGCGAACGTGATCAGTTTTACGAGAGTGTCTTATGTACTTCCGGCCAACGAACTGTTTGGACCTATGCAGATTTCTCTGGCTAAAATGATATCGGTACGTATGTATTTTTAATATAACCCTGGCAAACCAAATATAAGTACTGTTTTATAGCTGTCTCCAGCGACTGGGTTTATCTTTTAAGATAGTTTGTTTTCTGTGAAAGGAAACACATTTCGTGACGTCAGAACTACATACCTCATGTTGCTATATTAAACTCATTATCGAAAATGCGTTTCGTAGACCAATTTACATATCACGATACAGACATTATGGCATGCTCTAGGCTAAACAATATTGAACAAACAACCTGGGTATCACATGAAGAAATTAGCATCCATGCATGTTCATCAGTTTTCATGTGAAATTAGACAATTTATCTATGAAATATAAATGATCCAATTAATTATGTTTCTTAACGTAAGAACATTAATACACTCTATGCGGTGCATAATTATTTCCTATTAGAACTTCATGCAGTCGACTTATTTAACATCGTCTAAACATAAACTACAACTTTTTCAATACTTGCATTTTTTAGGTCACCTGAGTAAAAGTCTCAAGTGACCTATTGCGATCGCCTTTTGTACGGCGTCGTGCGTCGTCCGTCGTGCGTCGTTCGTCCGTAAACAATTTACATTTTCGACTTCTGTTCCAAAACCCCTGAACCAATTTCAATGAAATTTTGCAGAAACCTTTCATGGCCAAAGGTCAACCATACATGTGAATTATATGGTCCCCAGCCCCCAGGGGCTTGAGGGGCGGGGCCAAAAAGGGTCAAATTGACTAAAATTTCCAAAATCTTCTACTCAAGATCCAGATATGGTAGAATCAAATACTCTTCATAGATGGAAGGGTCTTAAGGAGCTTTACCAAAATAGTGAATTTCATGACCCTGGGGTTTCACGTTTCTCCCTGGGGAGGGGGTAAACTTTATAATAGTTTATATAGGGAAATCACATTTTGGACAAACATTTGTTTGATTTCCATTGGAATTAATTCAAACATGGTTAGCATTATCAGTATTGGATAGCAGTTTGATGGTATGCACAAATCATCCCTGACCGACCCACAGGGGCTGACGGGTGGGGCCAAAAATGGTTGATTTGACTGGAATTTCAAAAATCTTCTCCTCAAGACCCAGATATGGTAGAATGAAATACTCTTCATAGATGGAAGGGTCTCAAGATGCTTTACCAAAATTGTGAATTTCATGACCCTGGGGAGGGGGTAAACTTTACTATCGTTTAATTGTGAATTATATGGTCCCCAGCCCACAGGGGCCTGAGGGGTGTGGCCAAAAAGGGTCAAATTGACTTAATTTTCCAAATCTTCTTCTCAAGATCCAGATATGGTAGAATCAAATACTCTTCATAGATGGAAGGGTCTTAAGGTGCTTTACCAAAATTCAGCTGACTGACAGAACCACTATTTGTACAAAGTACATACATGTATACTACCCAGATCTTTCACACTACTTTTGCATTACATGTAGTTAAAGTTACCTTTGTTGTAAAATAATTTCTTTTTCATTTGGCAACATCGATAACATCAGTTTTTACATAAATCAGGTGACCGTTAAGGTCCATGGGCCTCTTGTTTTATTTCTTACATTCGTTTAAAAATAATTCGAAATGTTTTTATAATATTTTTATTATGTAGTTCTATTTATGTAAGGAGATACATCATATGGTAATTAAACTAATTTATTACAGGATATTCTCAAATTCGGAGTGATCTTCATGGTGGTTTTCCTTGCCTTCATGGTGGGCCTACACAACCTGTACTGGTACTATCCACAGGAGATGAGGAACCACGTCAAGTTTATGAATAATACAGTCAACACTCAGGACACTCCCGCTGGTAAATACTTTGGCATGTAAGTATAGAAGCGGTATTGTTTTAATTTTTACTATATGGTTAATGTAGAAATCAAGGCACTAGCCATGTACAGTTTAGCGATTATGATATGAAGATAAAATCGATACTGCATTTGACTGTGATTTACATAGAACATAACATGCACCTTGCAATCAAGCTGGTCACATAGTGAATTAATGATTAAGTAATGCTAATGTACATACAGGTAATGATAATGTAAACATACAAGCAATGATAATGTTAACATTATCATTGCTTGTATGTTAACATTATCATTATTTGTATGTTAACATTATCATTGCTTGTATGCTAACATTATCATTGCTTGTATGTTTAGAACATAACATGCACCTTGCAACCAAGCTGGTCACATAGTGAATTAATGATTAAGTAATGCTAATGTACATCCAGGTAATGATAATGTAAACATGCAAGCAATGATAATGTAAACATTTAAGCAATGATAATGTAAACATGCAAGCAATGATAATGTAAACATTTAAGCAATGATAATGTGAACATTCAAGTAATGATAATGCAAACATACAAGTACATGTAATGATATTGTAACCATACAAGCAATGATAGTGTAAACATACAAGTTATGATAATGTACACATCCAAGGAATGATAATGTAAACATACAAGTACATGTAATGATAATGTAACCATACAAGCAATGATAATGTTAACATACAAGCAATGATAATGTTAACATACAAGTAATGATAATGTAACCATACAAGCAATGATAATGTAAACATACAAGTTATGATAATGTAAACATACAAGGAATGATAATGTAAACATACAAGCAATGATAATGTAAACATTCAAGTAATGATAATGTAAACATACAGGTACATGTAAGGATAATGTAAACATACAAGCAATGATAATGTAAACATACAGGTAATGATAATGTAAACATTCAAGTAATGATAATGTAAACATACAGGTACATGTAAGGATAATGTAAACATACAAGCAATGATAATGTAAACATTCAAGTAATGATAATGTAAACATACAGGTACATGTAAGGATAATGTAAACATACAAGCAATGATAATGTAAACATACAAGCAATGATACTGTAAACATACAGGTAATGATAATGTAAACATACAGGTAATGATAATGTAAACATTCAAGTAATGATAATGTAAATATACAGGTAATGATAATGTAAAAATTCAAGTAATGATAATGTAAACATACAAGCAATGATAATGTAAACATACAGGTAATGATAATGTAAACATTCAAGTAATGTTACTGTAAACATACAAGCAATGATAATGTTAACATACAAGTAATGATAATGTAAACATACAAGTCATGATAATGTAAACATACAAGCAATGATAATGTAAACATTCAAGTAATGTTACTGTAAACATACAAGTAATGATAATGTAAACATACAAGCAATGATAATGTAAACATACAGGTAATGATAATGTAAACATACAAGCAATGATAATGTAAACATTCAAGTAATGTTACTGTAAACATACAAGTAATGATAATGTAAACATACAAG